TCACTTACTAGCAGGATTGCTTTAGGAAAATTACTAAATTTCTATTAGCTGCAGTTTCCTCATCAATAAGTGTTATAAATTAACAATCACACTGATTTTTGTCATAGAGTACTAATGAAGCTAAAATGAGATAATGTATAAAGTGAAAGTGCTTTACAAACAATATAAATGAAAGATATCTGTACTGCTATCAAGAAATGACAAAAACAGTTAAGAAAAAATATTATGTAAAACTTACTTGACAATTTTAGGGAAGTTGCTTTCAAAGCACTAGTTGCTATGCCAACATTTTCAGTTTGCACTTGGTCATAAGTTTAGTTTAGATACTTTAATAAAAGTAGAATATGATACAAAATGCAACTTCATCTCTCTGCCATACCATAGCATGCTCAGAAAACCCTTCCATACGTAATGAAATTAAAGGATTTAATCTTAACTGACCAAAGGCCGTAAATATGTTTATAATTATAGTAAATTATAAATGTTCCTTAGTTTCTTTATTCCTAGAATGAATTTTTGTTTCTGGAAGACTTTTCAAGTATGGTCAACAGATTGAAAAGAAAATCAATATGTATACTGAACAATATGAAAATCATTCTTACTGAGTTTTCTAGTTTATGTTGTTGTTGTTATTGGGTCTGTTTTGTAAGATTCCATTTCCTAGGTGCTTTCTTCTGACTCTTGAATAGGGATTGGCTGTTAAATTCCTTGTTTTGCCAAAGCACATAGGCAAAAAATAAGCAAACTAGGAGCTACACATTGAGTGTAGGTCAATTACTAAGGGATGTTAAAAGTTGAGTAGTAATACCTACAAAATGGCATGCCAAAAGTCTATATGGTCTGAAATGGAATGAATAGCATATAATTAAAACTGTGGGCTCTGAAATCAGATACATTAAATTCAAATAAAGGCTTTGACACTTGCTAGCTGACTGTGTAATCTTTGACAAGCAATTAACTCTCTAACACTTAATTTCCTTATTGTTTCTATGAGGATAATAATAGTGCCTATCTCGAAGAGTTGTGAGAGCAGAAAAAAAAAAAAAAAAAAAAAAAAATAGGATC